TGGTTTTTCGGGGGGCAGTTTGCCCAAGGGATGAAAAAAAGACTGTGTCAGGGGAAAAGGGGATGACTGGGGGTCAGGGGGGTCAGGGAGAAGGGGGGTTTGACAAATGGGTATTTGGCCAGAAGGGGGGTGATTTAGGGGTCACTGCAAAAAGGTGGATTGGTTTTGGGTTGTGCAAAAGGTGGATAAACTGGGGGTTTCACGCAGAAGGTGGATGGCTTGGGTCACTACAGAAGGTGGATGACTGTGGGACACTGAAAAAAAGGTGGAGGGGCTGTGGTCACTGCAAAAGGTGGGGACTGGGGTAAACTGCAAAAGGGGGAAATGACTGGGGGTCCTGCAGAAGGTAGATGACTGTGGGTCATAGGTTTGGGGTTTAACAAGGTGTTACGGAAAGTCTTCGGGAAAATTCTGTCAATGTTTTTTGCGGGTGTTTTTTTTAAAAGAATTTTAAAAACACAGCTGACAAAAAGGGGAAATAATTCCCTTTTCATAGCCTACTTCACAGCAATGTTCGGGGAAGTCAGTGAAGTACGAGCAATTTTTATCCAGCGCCATGCAAATTTTTCATGTAGTTTTTTTGGGAAAATAAAACCCTTTCTTTTTTCTTCATCCCTTTCCCGCTCTCTGCATCCCTTCGTCTGGGGAAAAAAGCTTCCTTTTTGCAGTTTTTTCCTGTCATCTTTTCCGCGTTCATCTACCCTTGTTTAAAATTATTTTAAGGCCTCACCTTTCACTCTCTTTGGGCCGATAAAAAGAACAAAAGGCACCAAATACTGTGATTGGAAAAATACACAAATAAACCCCCAAAATGGCCCCTTCCCCGCCACTTTCCCCGTGTATACTAGCTCCTCCCCCTTTTTGTTAGGTGATTTTTAAAAAGGCCAAATTTTGACAAAACATCGTCGTAACTCCCGTCTCCTATATGGGTTTTTTTTTGTACAGAAACAAGAATTTTCCCAACTTGACTCACTGAGAAAAGCCAGTAAAATTTTTTACCACAAAGACCAAATTTTTTTTTAGCAAACATTAAAAACTAATTGTGGCACTTGATCCCATGCACCTTTTATATTAAACTCTTTCAACTACATTTTTTTAAATTTTGGCCAAACTCTGGGACTCCAATTTTCTGTGTCACCTCCATTGCTGTTTTTTTTTCCACCCAACATGGTGTAAAGCACCTAAGGTTTAATCACACCCCAGTCCAGTGGGTTTCAAAGGGGGTAAAAAACCTTTTGGAAAAATTCTGTCATTTCAGGTTGGGTTCCCTTTATATAGTCAAAAACAGAATCCTCCCGCAGGGTTTGGTTTCCAATAACAGGCAAAATGGTTTTATCTTTACCTTTCCCAGCGTGGAAAAAAAAGTGTGGTGGGAGGGGGGGCCTGGGAGTGATAAATTTGTGTGTGTGGGAGGGGGGGTTCCTGGAAATATAAAAATTTTGTTTGTGGGGGGAGGGGGGGCCCCGGAGTGATAAATTTTTGGGGTGTGTGGGAGGGGGGTTCCCGGGGTGATAAAAATTTTGTGGTGTGGGAGGGGGGGTTTCCTGGGGTGAAAAAATTGTGTGTGTGTGGGAAGGGGGGGTTTTGGAGTGATTTAAATTTTTGTGTTTTGTGGGGGGGGGGGTTCCTGGGGTGATTTAAAATTTTGTTGTGTGGGGAGGGGGGTTCCTGGGGGGTTTTAAATTGTGGGGTGTGGGGGGGGGGGTTCCTGGAGTGATAAAATTTGTGTGTGTGGAGGTGGGGGGGCCTGGAGTGATAAAATTTTGGGGTGGGGGGAGGGGGGTTCCTGGAGTGATAAAAATTGTGTTGTGGGAGGGGGGTTCCTGGGGTGATAAATGTGTGTGTTTTGGGAGGGGGGGTTTTTTGGAGTTTATAAATTGGTTTTGGGGTGTGGGGGGGGGTTCCTGGAGTGATAAATTTTTTGTGGGGGGAAAGGGGGGGGGTGGAGTTTATAAATTGGGGTGTGTGTGGGAGGGGGGGTTTCCCGGGATGATAAATTTTGTGTGTGGGGGGAGGGGGGGTTTTGGATGATAAATTTGTGTGTGTGTGGGGGGGGGGTTCCCGGGGGGGATAAAATTTTGTGTGGGGTGGGAGGGGGGTTTTCCCGGAGTGATAAATTGTGTGTGTTGGGAGGGGGGTTCCCGGGGTTTATAATTGTGTGTGTGTGGGGGGGGGTTCCTGGAAATGATAAAAAATGTGTGGTTTTTGGGGGGGGGGTTTTGGAGTGATAAATTTTGGGGGTGTGGGAGGGGGGGGTTTCCCGGGGGTGAAAAAATTGTGTTGTGTGGGGGGGGGGGTTCCGGAGTGATAAATTGTGGTTTTTTTTAAAGGGGGGTTTGAAAGTTTTTAAAAATTTGTGTGGTTGGGAATTTTTCCCGGGGAAAAATTTGTTGTGTTGGGAGGGGGGTTTGGATGAAAAAATTTGTAAATGTGAAAATTTTTTTAAAATTTTTTGGGGGGGGGGTTCCCGATGATAATTTTTGGGCTGGGGGGGCTTCTTTAAAATAAAACCTTTTACCTATTAAATTGTTTTTGGGGGGGGGTTTTAGTGAAAAGTGGTTTAGGGGGGGGGGCCTGGATATAAATGTTTTTTTATTTTTTAATGATAAAAATTTTTTTTTTTGGGGGGGGGTTCATGGGGTAAAATTGGTTTTAAGGGGGTTTCCCCATTTTTAATTGTTTGTTGGAGGGGGCTTTTATAAAAGGGGGGGAGGGGGGCCCCCGGGGAATTTAAATTTTGTTTGGTGTTAGGGGTTTTTTAAAATTGGTTGTTTGGGGGGGGGAGGGGTTCCCTATTATAAATTTTAAATTTTAAAAAAGGGGGGCCTGGAAAATTATAAAAAAGAGTGTTTTTGTTGGGGGGGTTTCCGGGGGATAAAGGGTTTCAGCCGGGGGGTTCCGGAAATTTTGGGTGGTGTTGGGAGGGGGTTTCCGGAACGAAAATTTTGTGTGTGGGAAAGGGGGGCCTGGGGGTGTTGTGTTGGTTCCCCCTTCCCCGGGTTGTAATTAAATTTGTTGTTGGGGGGGGTTTCCCCCATGAAAAGTGTTTTGGGGGGCCTGAGTATAAAAATCTTTGTGCCTTGAAGTTGGTAAATTCTTCCGTAATAAGTTGTCTCGTCGTTCAGCACCTGCGGGGTTGTAGTCACTACCAGAAAAAAGTTTTGTAGCTGTGAAATATTTTCTCCACTAAATTTTGTTATGATGCTGATGATGCATTTTAGAACTGACTCCATCTTGCACTAAATAAACACTTTTCTCATACTTTCTCTCCTGCTTTATCCTGTATCATAAAGACACCAAGTAGGACATATATATTGTTGTTCTGTTTGACCCAGTAATTTTCTGATTTTTCCATTTTACTTAACTGTATAGACCTTTTTGATATTTTCTTTCAGGATGATAGAGTCAGGATTTGCTCAAAGCATATGCTCTTAAGTTCATTTCATTGATTGAATTGTATTGATTGTTGAGTCTTTTAATATCAAAAGCACAGGCTGCCTCCATTACATGCACTCCACATTTAAGCATGTCTGTGATTTCTCTAAAATAGGCATGCTTATGCTTTATGGCACCTTCACCTTCTCTGTCACTCCTTTTTAATTTTAAAATCCAGAAAATGAGATGGGGCGATGGAAAGGTATAAAATAATGAGTGATGTTGTTGTTGTTTGTCCGTCGATTCGACGAGGACCATCTAGTCATCCTGGGATCGAAGTTGGTGGGTACGCAGATGACTTGTCAGGCCAATCCGCGCACGAAACGTTCTCTGGCAGTGTGGACAGGGAAGGGTGGCGGCATCGAGGGGTCTGATGGCTCTGGCCTTCCTCGCCTGCCTGCGCTGCTCAGCTAGTGAGATTCTGCTTGCCTCGCAGGATGTTGCCCCTTTCTGGACAACTGCTCGCCAGTCATTCCTGTCCTGAGCTATCAGCTCCCACATGGTGTGGTTGATGTTGAAAAGCTTTCAGAGCAGTTTAAGGGTGTCCTTATAACGCTTCTTTTGGCCCCCTTGAGAGCGCTTTCCATGCTGCAGTTCCCCAAAAACAAGAGTTTCTTTGGCAGCCGGTGGTCTGGCATGCGAGCAACGGGGACCTCCCCAGCGAAGCTGTGTCTGCATTAGGATGGTGTAGATGTAGGCAGGCCAGCTGTAGTCAGCACTTCTGTGTCTGGGATCTTTATCTTGCCTTTTGTCCCAAGAATTTTTCTGAGCCGTGTGGTGTGAAAGTGGTTCAAACTTTCGGTCGGACGTTTGTAGACAGTCCAGGTTTCGCAGCCATAGAGAAGTGTGGTGAGGCTATGGCTCTGTACCCTTGATCTTGGTGCTGTGGTGTTTGCCTCTTCGGTTCCATACATTCTTGTGGAGCCTGCCGAAGGTGGCACTGGCTTTAGCAAGTCTGGCATTCACCTCATCATCGATGACAACGTTTCTGGAAAGGGTACTGCCGAGGTAGGTGAATTTGTTTACGGCGTTCAGTCGCTGCCCATTGATGGTGATGTTTGGCTCAACATACGTCTTTCCCGGAGCAGGCTGGTGCATCACTTCAGTCTTCATTGTACTGATTGTCAGCCCGAAGTTGTTGCAGGCGTCAGAGCACTTGTCAACACTGTGCTGCATGGCGGCTTCTGAAGCAGTGATAAGCATGAGAGAATGGTACAAGTCCATACACTGTATGTGTTAATGAAGTGGATGAAGCAAAGCTAGGCCAGAGGGGAATTTTTCGTGTGGGACCCAACTTGATTTCAATTTTTTCCCCAACTTTATGGCATGGAAGGAAATTTTCTGCATGGGCACCAGCCCGATTTATAGTTTTTACCTTCTTTACAGCACATTTGCATAAGGCAAGACTGCATATCACTATTTGTTTGTATATCAATAGGAATAATGTTCTATAACAAATGCTCTGTGTAGGCATGCTCTATGAGAGGTCTTACTGTATATTTGTAGGATAATTACTGATGGTTTACAAGTTATATCATCATTTAAAGCTTGAGATATTTTAACAGATCAGAGAAGAAACAAGCACTCGCATTGAACTGCCATCAGAAGGTCAAAAGAGTAACGAGATCACCATTACAGGCAAAAAGGAGGATTGTGAAAAGGCTTGTGAGATTATTAAGAAAATTCAGGATGATTTAGTAAGTATGTTGCTAATTTTTTGTACTGTATAGTGTTTGCAGTGTCTATATCTCCAGCTGTTGATACAAATAACAAGATAAATGACTTCTCAACCATAAGATCAAATCTTGCCAGTAAAATTCCAATTACCAATGCCTGAGTTAATGATTATCTGGATGGAAACTTTCTAAGATCCCTCTATCTTGCACCAACTAAGCCCATTGAGGTTACCATGATTATTAACTCTAAAAAACAAATTAGGAAATATAACCCAAGTGCCACCACTACTGTACAAACGAGCGGCTCAGATCCTTTCACCCACCATTGCATTACTCTTTAACAAATCACTAGCAACCAACACTTTCCTGGCATCACTCAAAATAGCAAGGATTACACCAACACACAAAGGTAATAACCCAACAAATGTAAACAATTATAGGCCAATATCAAACTTGCCTTTACTTTCCAAAATCTTCAAGAATCTCATACACAAAAGGTTATACTCCTTCATAACATCACAAAGCATCCTCAGTCCCAGTCATTTTGGCTTTAGGAGAAACAAAAGCACAAATGATGCAGTAATAAAAATGCTAGACCTACGTTACACATCACTTGAAAAAAACGAATGCCCGCTAGGACTTTCTCAACTTTAAGAAAGCTTTTGATACAGTAGACCACAGCATCCTACTCCTCAAGCTTGATTGTTACAGTATAAGAGATCATGCACTTGCATATATCGAGTTGTACCTTACAAATACAAACAACAAACGAAAGTTTTTCTTAACAAAGGTTACAATGTGTGTTTACATTTCATAATTTGATTGGTACAAAGAAAGCCACTATCATGCCGAAGCATTTCAGGCAGACTTAACCTAATATTTAAAGACTATTTAAGTCTAGACAGGTAGGGAGTGGCAAATTTCAAATATTCAATATTTTACTCTATTATTAATATGAGGTAGTACAATTTATGTTACAAACATACATTTTTAGATTTGTAATATTGATTTAATAGATAAGGGATAATAAAATATTTGGGAGAGTTGCTTCAAATTTGGTTAGAGATTAGAATAGTGTGGGTATGGTTATTGAAAGATGAGATGATTTTTAAGTATACAGTGGACCCCCACATACCGTTGGCCTTACATAACGTTAAATCCGCATACCGATACATTTTATCGCTAAGATTTTGCCTTCGCATACCGCTAAAAAACCCGCTCAACGCTGTTCGTCCGAGACACGTCTATGTGAGGCCTGAGCCAGCCTCACATGTTCCGCCGGTGGCATTGTTTACAAGCCAGCCTCCGCGGTAACATCCAAGCATACAATCGTAACATTTCGTATTATTACAGTGTTTTTGGTGATTTTATCTGCTAAATAAGTGACCATGGGCCCCAAGAAAGCTTCTTTGTGCCAACCCTCTGGTAAAAGGGTGAGAAATATCGAAATACTGTGGTACCATGGTCAAACCCGCTGATGCTGCTGCTGCTGCTGCTGCTGTAGGGACCATCAGCTGCTGCTGTAGCACGTCGCTGCTGCTGCTGCTGTACCCACCGTCAGCTGCTGCTGCTGCTGTACCACCGTCAGCTGCTGCTGCTGCTGTAGCATCGTTGCTTTCTGCTGTAGCACTGTCAGCTGCTGCTGCTGCTGCTGCTGTAGCATGTCCAGCTGCTGCTGCTGCTGTAGCACCATCAGCTGTGCTGCTGGGTGCTTTCTGCTGCTGCTGTAGCACCGTTGTTGGTGTGGCTTATTGAGAATACCAAGAAACAATTAACCCCAGAGGGTTAGCCACCCCGGATAACCCAAAAAAGTGTGTCATCGAAGGGCTGTCTAAATTTATTTCCATTGGGGTCCTTAATCTTGTCTCCCAGGATGAAACCCACACCAGTCGACTAACACCCAGGTGAACAGGGAAAAACGCCTGGAACTTTGTGTCATATTGGTGAATTTAAAGCCAGCAAAGGTTGGTTTGAGAGATTTAAGAATCGCTGTTGCTGGATCGTCAGCTGTTGCTAGATCAGTCAGCTGTTGCTGGATCAGTCAGCTGTTGCTGGATCAGTCAGCTGTTTCTGGATCAGTCAGCTGTTGCTGGACCAGTTTAGCTGTTGCTGGACAGTCACCTGTTGCTGGACCAGTCAGCTGTTGCTGGACCAGTCACCTGTTGCTGGACAGTCAGCTGTTGCTGGACCAGTCAGCTGTTGCTGGACCAGTCAGCTGTTGCTGGACCAGTCAGCTGTTTTCTGGCCAGTCGTGCTGCTGCACCACGGTCAGCTGCTGTTGCACCCTCAGCTGTCTCTGAACATGACTCGTCCCAAAACCTGTCCGCCAGCCTTGGAGCGCCTGCCCCTTGGCCCCCTCCCTTGTTTACCCAAGGGCCCGGGTGGCCGGTTGCATGCATTCAATTTAATACATTTTGTATTTTTTTTCCATTATTTTTTAGTGTTTGGGAACTGCAAAAATAAGCCCCATGGACCCAAAGAAAGCTTCTAGTGCCAACCCCTGTGGGAAAAAGGGGGGATTAAAATACTATCGTTTTAAACCCCAGTCAGTGCTGCTGCACCCCCAGCTGCAGCTGCAACCCCAGCTGGGAGCTGCACCCAGCTGGGAGCTGGGACCATGATCAGTTGTTTTCTGCACCCAGCTGTTGTGCCCATGGTCAGCTGCACCACAGCCCGTTGTTTTTTGCTGCAAAAAAAAATTTAGCTGCAAACCACCCCCCGCTGTTGTTGTTGCTGCAAACCCCCATCAGCCCGTATTACTCGAAAATGTTGGAAAAAGAGTGTTGTTGGTGTGGCTTAAAAAATGAAAAAAATTACCGAAAAACAATTAACCCCCGAGGGTTTAGCCACCAGGATAACCCAAGAAAGCAGTGCATCATCGAGGACTCTAACTTATTTCCATTGGGGTCCTTAATCTTGTCTCCCAGGATGCAACCCACACCAGTCGACTAACACCCAGATGAACAGGGAAAAAATGCCGGGAGCTAGTGCTCATATTGGTGAATTTAAAGCCAGGAAAGGTTGGTTTGAGAGATTTAAGAATCGTAGTGACATACACAGTGTGATAAGGCCTGTTCTGGGAAGAAAATGCCAAACAGGACCTACAGTAGTCAGAGGAAAAGGCACTCCCGGGACACGTTTCTCATCATCATTGCTGCATCTTCAAAAAAGGGTTAGTGTCATTTATTCTTCATTTAGTAGAGTAGTACATGCACAATATATACTGTGCATGTACTACTCTACTATTGTGCATGTATCCTTCTCTTTGTGTGTAGGAAAATGTATATTTCATGTGGTAAAAATTTTTTTTTCACACTTTTGGGTGTCTTGCACGGATTAATTTGATTTCCATTATTTCTTATGGGGAAAATTCATTCGCATAACGATAATTTCGCATAACAATGAGCTCTCATGAACGGATTAATATCATTATGCGGGTCCACTGTAGTCCTAAATTGATTTGTGGGCAAGGGACCTTTTGCAGGTTCAGGCAAAGAGTTCCAGATCTTCGGGCCTTTTATGTGCATTGCATTTTTGCATAGTGTGAGACGGACACAAGGTATGTCAAAAAGTGTTTTGTGCCTTGTGTTATGCCTGTCCGTTCTGTTGTAGTTGTCCAGGAGAAGTTTGAGCAGAGGGTTTATATTGGAGTTTAATGTTCTGTATATGTAGTAGGCACAATAATAAGTGTGTATATTTTGTATATTAAGTAAGTTCATCCTCTGGAAGAGTAGTGGGGTGTGTTGTCTGGCGCAGGAATTTGTGATCCTCCGCACTGCAGCTTTTTGTTGGGTTATTAAAGATTTAAGGTGATTGAGTGTGGTAGATCCCCAATATCATAGGTGAGGTGGGGTTATATTAGAGAGTGATATAAGGTAAGAAGCACCATTTGGGATACATAGTATCATATCTTGGAAAGGATGCCTACTGTTTTGGAAATTTTCTTAGTTATATGCTGGATGTTGGTCTGAAATTTAAGATTACAGCCAAGGTGGAGACCTAGAAATTTGCCCTCAGTGTGTCTTGTAATGGGGGAACTATTTATTGATATGTCTAGCTTAGTATTTAATGCTCTGTTTCCATTAAGCATGAAGTAGGTTTTGTCTATATTAAGAGCAAGTTTGTTGGTTGTCATACAATCTTATATTTTATGTAGCTCCTGCTTACAGTGTTACTAAGTATAGCTGGGTTTGGGTGAGAGAAGACATAAATGGTTATATTTTTTGTTTTTATTAACACACTGGCCGATTCCCACCAAGACAGGGTAGCCAGAAAAAGAAAAACTTTCACCATCATTCACTCCATCACTGTCTTGCCAGAAGGGTGCTTTACACTACAGTTTTTAAACTGCAACATTAACACCCCTCCTTCAGAGTGCAGGCACTGTACTTCCCATCTCCAGGACTCAAGTCCGGCCTGCCGGTTTCTCTGAACCCCTTCATAAATGTTACTTTGCTCACACTCCAACAGCACATCAAGCATTAAAAACCATTTGTCTCCATTCACTCCTATCAAACACGCTCACGCATGCCTGCTGGAAGTCCAAGCCCCTCGCACACAAAACCCCCTTTTAAACCCCCTCCCTCCAACCTTTCCTAGGCCGACCCCTACCCCGCCTTCCTTCCACTACAGACTGATACACTCTTGAAGTCACTCTGTTTCGCTCCATTCTCTCTACATGTCCTAACCACCTCAACAACCCTTCCTCAGCCCTCTGGACAACAGTTTTGGTAATCCCGCACCTCCTCCTAACTTCCAAACTACGAATTCTCTGCATCATATTCACACCACACATTGCCCTCAACATGACATCTCCACTGCCTCCAGCCTTCTCCTCACTGCAACATTCATCACCCATGCTTCACACCCATATAAGAGCGTTGGTAAAACTATACTCTCATACATTCCCCTCTTTGCCTCCAAGGACAAAGTTCTTTGTCTCCACAGACTCCTAAGTGCACCACTCACCCTTTTCCCCCTCATCAGTTCTATGATTCACCTCATCTTTCATAGACCCATCG